CTGTTAGTCACAATGTCGTCGTCGTTATTTCCTGTTCGATTACCCGTTCTCTTTTTATTTTCGGCTCTAGGCGTTCTTTCCTCAGTTCATCTTGCGTTTCATCGCGAGAACAAGGGTTTAAATCAAGGCGTTCGTTGCCGTAACTAAGGAACCTTTTTTTACAAGTGAGACCGATTTTTCAGAGTCTGACCCATTTATTCTATGTGTGTCCCCTTTTCACAAGTTTGACCCATTTTTACAAGTGTGACCTACTTTTGGAAGGGTGACCCATTATTCCAGGTTTGACCCATTTTTTCAAAAGTGACTCGTTTTTCCAAGTATTGCCCATTTTTCAAAATGTGACCCTTTTTTTCGAGTGTGTCCCACTTTTACAAGTTTGACAGATTTTTACAAGTGGGACCCTTTTTTCCAAGTGTGACAAATATTTCTAAGTGTGACTCTTTTCCAAGTGTGACCTGTTTTTCCAAGTGTGACTCATTTTTACAAGTGTGCCCCACTTTTCTAAGTGTGACCCACTTTTCCAAAAGTGACCTATTTTTCAAAATGTTTCCCCCTTTTTTCCAAGTGTGACCCATTTTTCGAAGTGTGACCCTTTTTTCCAAGTGCGTCCTATTTTTACAAGTTTTGTGTGACCCATTTTGCTAAGTGTCGCCCCCTTGTTTCCAAGTGTGACCAATTTTTTCAAGTGTGACCCATTTACACTATACAGATAATTACACTATACAAACTACTAGTACAAGTTTCATTACTTTAACCTGAACTTCTTTGGCGATTTAGGGAGCGATTTAGCGAGGAGGTAGTTTCCGCTGAGTCAGCAGAATATAGGTTTAACATGACAACATCATGCAACATGGAGGCGAAAGTTTGATTTTCTCGCTGCGTTTTTTCTAAGGCATACTCTTCACCCGCCAAAGCCGAAAACCAAACCATGGAAACAATCCTGTAGAAGGGTACCCTCAGACGAAAAGAACTCAGTCTTCGGTTACATCATGATCGACAGCTGTCCATCATCTTGGAGAAACGTTGATGTTGCGCGTGCGTGTCAATCTACCAATTACACGGCTAATCCTGCAGTGGCTTTACCTGTGCTTGACCTGACAACTAACGTCACTTATGCTATTGCTGGTTTTCAGTGTCACGCAATTCAAAATAGATTAAAATAAAATCAAAACCGGTCAATAGATAAAGTCCAGAATCTGGGAAATGAAAGAAGGTAAATATGCA